ATGGATGGATGGATGGATAAATAATGAAAATGGATGGATGGATATTCTATAAATACGATTATATCACATGGACTAGTAAAGTTGTTTCTTGTAATGAGGCGGACATCTTCTTAGGGCATTTCTTTTAAACACAAGTGTCTAGTGTAGGACAGAAAAGTTCTGGGAATATAAAAATGCCACCTTGAGTTTTAAATCATGGTCATGGAACTTGCCTCGATCACTTGTTGCGTCCACGTTGCTCTGAGGAACCACCGGCCCAGCTCCAGGTGTGCTTACTTTCTGAGCCTTAACCTCTGAGCCAGTGAGTGCAGGCTGTGGTGTGGATTCCAGTGCAGCCGTGGGGTCACTGCCTTGTGAATATATCGGTTCTGGCTCTGCGAACTCCTGAGGAATGATCGGCGTCTGCGTGTACCTTTTTCCTTGTGGAACAGAAAAAAAAAAAAAAAAAAAAGGGAAACGTTGACAGTTTCACTGTGACACCATCACAGGGTCGTTGGAAGGGACACAGGACCGGACGGTGTACCTTGACTCAAGGAAAACTGGTGGGCGTCGGCCTCATGTGGCGCTGCGCTTGGCTGGGCAGGAGAGAAGACTCCACCTTTAAAAGCATTTCCATTGGAAGCACCGAACATATTCTTTCCGTTAGGCATGAAGCCAAACCCTAGAAAGGAAACAGACGAATTAGGGAGTGGAAGGGAAATTAAATGATAATAATCCCTTTTTTTGTGGCAGAATAATATTGTTTTTTTTCGTATTCGACAGTAGCTTACTACTCTCTGCAGGACAACTATGCTTTTTCCAGAGGGGTATATATATATATATATATATATATACATACATACATATATACATATATATATGTATATATGTATGTATGTATATATATATATATATATATATATACCCCTCTGGAAAAAGCATAGTTGTCCTGCAGAGAGTAGTAAGCTACTGTCGAATACGAAAAAAAACAATATTATTCTGCCACAAAAAAAGGGATTATTATCATTTAATTTCCCTTCCACTCCCTAATTCGTCTGTTTCCTTTCTAGGGTTTGGCTTCATGCCTAACGGAAAGAATATGTTCGGTGCTTCCAATGGAAATGCTTTTAAAGGTGGAGTCTTCTCTCCTGCCCAGCCAAGCGCAGCGCCACATGAGGCCGACGCACACCAGTTTTCCTTGAGTCAAGGTACACCGTCCGGTCCTGTGTCCCTTCCAACGACCCTGTGATGGTGTCACAGTGAAAATGTCAACGTTTCCCTTTTTTTTTTTTTTTTTTTTTTTTTTTCACA